TTTTTAATATTTTAATGTGTATTTTGATAAATTGTGATGCCAACCCTGATTTTGAAATCCTTATCATTTTATTTTGAAATGTTATTGAACTAACATCGTTTATCAGAATTATAACTGAACCATTATTAATAGATCTTTCAAACCTATAAGCACTATACATTAAATAAATCACAATACATTAAATTAACTATCGAGTTTTCCTTTGTAATATTTACATGGTCCATTAAGGACACAAAAAATAGAAATATTCCATAATTTTAATGTTAAAAATACTATAAACTTATTAAATATTGAAATTTTTAACATAAATTGAAGGGTCGGCCGTAACAACGTTGTATATAACAAAAGAAGTGAATGGAATAAATCACTAAAAACGATAAGAGGTCATTTAGGTGATGATAAAACTTCGTATTTAGTATACTTTACTAAAGTTGCTGTAACTATACTGATTGATAATTTTTAAAAATACTTATTACGAAATATCCAACTATAGAGGTCATTATTGTGGAAAATGCATGTAACAACGTTGTATGTTCATGTAACTTACAACGTTGTTACACGTAAGCAATGTATATTAAATTAAAGCAAATGATTTTTTAATAAATTTACTTTATTAATAAAGGTTTTAAAGAAAGAACTTACATAACGCAAACATTATTTTCAAAAAACTGGTTTTACAAAATAAAATCTTAGTACTAGATAAATTAGAATATTGCTCTCCAGCATCTCTTGAACGTTTTCTCGCGTTTTGTTTCGAGTTCTCTATATTTAGTTTCCTTTTTTTCCCCTATTTAAGTGGGAAATATCCGCGGGTGAAAGTTGCACCGCCCTCTTACTAAGCGCTTAAACGCACGTACAACGTTATTATCGGGAATGCAAGGCTGGCATTGACTGAAGGTCGCCCTATTGCCAGACATCGGGCAAAATTTTTCGGTTCCATTGCGCCAATACATTCACAATATGCTTATAAACGTTATTTTAGGGAAACATCACATTTCAGCAAAATATAAACTTATACAACGTTATTGAAATTTTTAACTTCAATTATAAATTTCATAAAAGCAAAGATAATGTTCACAGTAAAAGCATAACTATATAGGTCAAACTTACTTAAAAAAAGAAAGTAAATCAGTTTTAAATTGCATCAATTATAAAACCAAAATATAAGTAATTATTATACCCCGTTTGTTTACATAAAAAGTGGCATATAAATTAATTTAAAGAATAAAATTTTAATATTTTAGACTTCAGTGTCACTACCAATGAAAAGCCAAATGAAAGTAAATTTTAGAACAAAATTATAAAAAACTGTATGTCGTGCACGTGATTTTTTAAAATTTCCTTTGTTTCCTAAACTTTCTATTTGAAAATTAAACTTAATAGTATTATAAACAGCCTCTTTCGTGACTTTGACATGCTACATTATGACATTAAAATAATGACAAGCCATATTATGGCATCTAAACGACTCATTTTTGACATTCTTTAAACTTGACAATTAAAATGAACACTTTTGTTTTCTATGCGAAAATAATATCCCGACCAAAACTCATGGCAGATTTTTTGGAAATACATAGTTCTCAGCACCACATTTATTGAGGATTTTAGCTACTTCGACTTGTGGAAATCGACAGAATATGTTATTCCCGTGATTCTCGAATGATTTCTTTCAAAATAAAAAAATAATTATGCTAGAAATGCACTCTTTTATGCATGTAATTACCTCACTGTGTAGCAGTTTTTTGAAAAAAAAAAACAACAAATAGCGATTGCACTTTGTTACAGTAAAAGTTCGAAATCAGTGATTGTTAACAATTACTAGTAAAAACTCACATTCACTGATTTGCTAAGATTACGCCAGTAAAAGTTCAACAGCTATTTTTTATACCAACTTTTACTAGTGAATGCTAGCCATTCCCTGGACGATACCAGTGAGTTTGAAAGATTCAGTTAGCGCGGTTGCCACATGGTGTAAAATATAAGGATAAATAAGGATAAGTTGAATAATAGGCAATATAAGGATAACATTAAATTGGGTTAAACGTTGGCAACGTTGACAGAAATCTGGCGCAACCCACATAACACACAATATCCGCAGGATATAAATAGAATGTCGAAATATCCCACTACAAGATTATCCTGTAAAAAACATCTACAGGATATCCTCTAGACATCCTGAAATCCTGTAGATGTCTTAGAATAGAATAACCTATGGATATCTCTGTCGTATATCTTATGTACATCCAGCTGAGATATCCAATTATGCTCAAGATAATAAAATATCCTAACAATATCGTCTAAATATTTAGGAAAAAATAAATAATATTACTACTTTTTATATCTTATGTACAATTATGCACAAGATAATAAAATATCCTAACAATATCGTCTAGATATTTAGGAAAATATAAATAATTTACTACTTTTTATGTTACATAAAATGCAATAAACCATACAAATACATATATATTATGTCAAGACAACAAGATCCTGTTGATATCTTCTGGATAATCTGGATATTCATGAGCTCCCAGTAATACACAGAATTTAAAACGCCTGCGCAAATTATTTCCCACCATCCATCTTGACAATTGTTTGTTGTTTGTATTTGCATTTTGGATTGTGTATGATTTAGTGAAATTCGAGGTGAATGGTGAATTCTGTTGTTTGTCGATGTTAAATGGGCTTAAAAATGACTGAAACGAACAAAACTGGTTGAGTTTGATTTAGTTTTTTTATACTCATACTTCTAGCCTTGTTATAGCAGCAGAAATTCTATCCTAACCTCAACTAATGTCAAAAAACGACTCAGGGTCTCGCAATGATAAAATTGTAACAAAATTTTACGTGAAAATTTGTCGAAAAGCGTTTATTCTTTATTCTTGAACCCATTTTCGTGTTTGATCTATTCGAACAGAAATCCGATTTTTGTGTTTGATGTGAATGGTGAGTTTTTGGAATTTGTATTTGTGGTGTTAGAAATTATACCGTATGATCGAGAAAAAACGGCGTCAGCGATGGCTATGGAATGAAGATCGCTGTCATTTTATATGTAAATTTATATGGGAAATGTCATTGATGTTCATTTCCCAGCCAACTGGACGCCGTTTTTTTTCGATCATACGGTACCTATGTCCCCTGCTAACTTTGATGTAAACTGTTGCTGCTAGATTCCATAAAGGGTAGCATTAATGTACCTATTCTCTGGGGTAGCATAATACCATACGATCGAAAAAAATGGCGTCAGAGGTGGCTTTTGGAAATGAAGATCGCTGTTATATTTTGTATGTAAAACTATATGAGGAATAGCATCGATCGTAATTTCCAAGCTACCTGGACGCCTTTTTTTCAATCATACGGTATAACTTGAAAGCTCTTTGGCGCAAAATTCAATGACATAATATGTAGGTATTTTGCAGCGGTTAATAAATATATCCAATGAATAACGTCAAAATGTGGCTGAATAAAACTTGAATAAAAAAATTGCGAATGTTTTTACTACAAACTAAGAATGCAGTAAGTATTGTCAAATAACAGTCCTATTATAATGCCCTAAAAATATTCTATAATGCTCCTAACATCATCCCTATATTATCCTATAAATATCCCAAATAATCGTAAAAGGCTTGCCTAGGGATGTCTTGAAGATGACTTTTTTTGTTCCACTTGGATATCCTATAAATATCCTCCTCGGGTATTTGGATATCTCTAAGATATTTACTATATCCTTGGTGGATATCCTCAAGATATCTATAGGATTGTGTTGTGTTATATGGGAAATTCGCTTTGTTTTTTGTGGTTATGTATAATTGTTTAGTTATCGTTGTAAAAAGTGCCGTGCTTCCCTATGGAAGAATTTTTCTGTGAAAATTAAGGCACTCGGAAGAATGTAATAGCACAGATTACGTATACTATATGTATACAGACAAAAATCTTTTCCCTAATTCATGGTACGAAAATTGTTTTTTTTATGAGGATGAGCAAACGAGTAAAATTTCCTGTGCACAAAAATAAACTCGCGTTTAAACAGCGTAATAACTGGTCCGGTCAGGCGCTGTGCACAATTTTAGAGGCCATAAGTGAGCGTGCTATGTGCGCAAACTAGTAACCTAACTAGTGCGCGACTCTGAAAATTTGAACCACGAAAAACAATGCTTTTGACGATAAGTTCATAATCTGTATAATCTGTGGTAATAGTGCTTGTTTACACTGTGAAACCTTTACTAGAAGTCAAAATAATTAGAGTCAATTTGTTACCAGTTGCTATTGTTCTTCTGGCACTTTTCACAACACTTCACTCAGAATATGACTAAAAATCAGAAGAGACAATTACTTATTCTAGTGAACTTAACTCGTACTTATACTTAATATACATATTATTAAGTAGGATTTTAAAACCCCAATTAATTTGTAATGAGAAAAATTGAAAAAGATAATTGGGATGTCATATTAATAATTTTATGTAAAGGATATATCCATTTATTTAAATTATAAAAATTGTAGTTATATTGGAAAACTTGTAAATTATAACTAAATATTAATTGCCTGAATTTCCGGAGTCAGAAACTGCTTTGGCCCCCAATTTTAGCAGCTAACTGGGTCATTATTTCTGGGAGATAAATAACATATTGCTTTGCTGTTTTTGGACATTTTTTGCACATGTAATGTTTCAAGATCATGTACTATAGTAGATATTGATGGTTCCTAAACATCCATAAAAAGATGTTCAATAAAGTATTTCTTGAATGTTCGTAACGCGATTGCGACTGTATTCTCACACACTTACACAGCTACGGTTAAAGAATACACGAAGCCGGAATCAGCATGTAATTTTGACATTATCTCACCAAGATATATAAGCCAAATTTCGTATGGGGTATTAAAATACCTCAAAACTCAGTACCTCTATTTGTATTTTGCAGACTTTCAACACATACCCTAATCAAAACGAACGTGAAACATACACTCGACAAACCGTTTTAAACACAATTTTAATTCAGGTACATTCCAAAGGTCTCAAGTTCGGAATCTACGAGGATTTCGGCAACTACACTTGCGCCGGCTACCCCGGCGTGATCGGATCTCTGCAACAGGACGCCGACACGTTCGCGTCCTGGGACGTGGACTACGTCAAGCTGGACGGATGCTACGCTCACCCCAGCGAGATGGACAGAGGTTATCCGGAGTTCGGATTCTACCTGAACAGAACGGGCAGGCCGATGATATATTCGTGCAGTTGGCCCGTATACCAAATTTACGCAGGTAATGTAATGCATATATTATATTTCCATTCTTGTTCTTTCAATAGGCGGCCATACACGCAAGGGTTTTCTGAGCCATCAGCAGTCCACAGATGCCTTTCCATATTCGGTCGTTCAGATTAGAGATATTTTGATATTCACAAACAAAATAAAGAAAAAAATTATTATTACTTTACTCTCGGCTTTACTTGAGTAGTCGTATCAATACGATCTTAAACTGAAGCGGGTGCAACGAGTTATATATTCTAGAATGTATGCCGTGGGCGCACTGTATATATTCAAAGAACACACTGTATAAATCTCAAATAATACCATTAGGGTAATGTTTTAATGTAATAAATGGATTTAAAAGATGTAATAGTAGGACTAAATAATAAGGTTGAATAATATATTTTTTTATTTATTAATATCTCTGAAATTATCGTAATATATTTACCAATATCTTAGGATTATGTAAAGCGATCTGCAAGGAAGTCAAAAATGCAATAATATACAGGTTGTTCCATTTAAAAAAAATTATCTCTATCCACACACACTTTTTTGAGCCACCCTATAGAAGTTAAAAAATTTTCCTGAAATACATTCTCGTACATACTTTAGGCGTGGTTTAGGTTTGCACTTAAACAAAATTATTTTATTTAATTAGTTTATCTATACTTATTTGAAGCAAGTTCAAAACTCATGTAGGTCTAATATTCTTTAAAATATACTGAACATATAAAAACGTATTGCAGTGAATTATTTTAATTGTATATTGCTATTAGTTACATAGTTGGTAATACATGTAAACGTATCAGGTGTTCTGTGACATAAAGTGGAACAAGTACACAGTTTTCCACAAAAAATATTTCATATATTTATGCGGTTCATTAAATCACAGCCATTTACCATGCCAGCAATAAAAGTAACATACGCGAAGGTTAGTGGTACAGAGAGTAATAAAGTAATAGTTAGACACTTAGATAGGCTGAAGAATGAAGAATTCTATAAGTTATTTTGTTATTTATCTATTCAAAATAGTCTGTGTGTATTTCAACGTTAAATCTAAAAATGTTTATTTTGCAATCATAATTTGCATAATGTAAATCTATCACTCATAAAATAAAGTATATTTCCTGTTTTTCAAAATTTCTCTGAATTTTTCTTGGCGTTATTTGATTTATAAGTTTCAGAAAATATTTTAAATGCCTTGGCATTTAGTGAAAGCTATAATTTCAGCTTCTCTCTAGCATGAGCAGAAAAAAAGAACAAGTTTTAAGTCTAGACAAGCCCGTGCAGTTTCATTTCTACTAAATATCAGTATCGATATATTTAAAACACAAGAAAATAATAACAAAATCAATTCATACCACTCGCATAAATATACGTTTAAGTTGGAATAGATATTCTTATAAAATCGTAATTTGATTCTATAAATTATACTGTTTGGATATTTATCTTTTAGAGTAAATCTTCATGCGGACGTATAAACTTAATGATAATCAGTTATCTAAAATGCAATTGAACTTATAAAATTGCACTCAACAATTTTTCTGTTTCGTAAATATTTTTTCGACCTGGAATATGCTTTATAAATGAGTGGTATGATAGTGTATCCCAGTCTAAATTGTGGGAAGCCATCGAGAAAACTAATATCAGCATAACATTAATTAACGCTGTCCAAGAACTTTATAAGAACAACGCTAGCCAAGTAAATAAATGACAAACAGTATCGAAGGGATTCAGCATAAACAATGGTCTTAAACACGCCTGTCTGTCCCCGACATTGTTTAATATCTATTTGGAACCAGCTCTGAAAACGTGGAAAAGGAAGTACGAGCAGATGGGGATACCACTAAACGACTCGATACTTTACACTCTTTGTTTTGCTGATGATCAAGATAGAATACTGGCTCAAGACTACGAGAGCTTGGAATATATGACCCGCAAACTAATTGAAGAGTACAAGAAGTGGGGGCTGGAGGTAAACCTTAGGAAGACGAAGCATATGTGTGTCGGCGGCGAACAACAGAACTTAATACTAGAAGAGCAACAGCAAGAGATAACACTACCAAAAATATAAATATCTTAGCATGCGCATTACCAGCGATGGTATAGTCTTGATGAATAAATTAAGTGCAGAAACAATCAGGGAAGACAAGCAATTAAACAATTCAACATTATTCTATGGGATAAGGCAGTATCAAAACAAAACAAACACAAAATTTATAACAGCATAGTTAAAAGCATCATTAGTTATGGTAGTGAAATATGGCATTTGAAAGAAAAAAACCTTAAGTTCAGTGGCGTTAAGTTTTGCCTGTGTGCAAAAATTTTACCGGGCCCCCTATTACACCTACATATTTCAATACTTATACTATACTAATCTGAATAATATGCACTCATATTTTAGGTTAGAAATAACATTATCAAATTAATTTTTAATTAGTATTATTTATTACTGCAACAGAGAATGTGTAACACAAAACATATAAAATATCAAATAAATAAAAAATAAATAAAAACAAAACAAAAAACAACAACAAAACTAACTAAATTAAAATATACAATGTAAATAGGAACATGAACATGTTAAAATTCTTTTTTCCTTGCAGTTTGAGTATGAGCGAAAGTTGACACAATATTACCAATGTCTATTGTACGGGCAACTTCATTTTCTATTGAAATAATTGCTAAAGCTGATAACCGTTTTTCGCCCATAGTATTTCTTAAATAATTTTTGACAAGCTTTAATTTGGAAAAAGATCTTTCAGCCGAAGCCACAGAAACAGGTATGGTGAGAAAAATATGACACGCTGTTAAAATCTCGCTGAAACTAGAAGACGATGAAAGGTTTTTAATTAAAATAAATTCAGTGAGTTCAAAAATGCAATTGATTTCATATAAATTATTTCGGAAACATTGCCTGAAGGAGAGTAATTGAGAATAAATCGTATAGGCAATATCATCGGGGTATTTAAGGTATAGAACCTGACCCATGGGAGGTTCTTCTATAGGAGGATATATTCCTCATCAGAAACAGAAGGATTCTGCTTGATTCGCGATAGCATGTGATAGACTCGGAAATGCGGCAAGGGGACCCGAGAGGGAGAATTAAAAAGAGTTGGAGAGAAGGAATAGACGGGGATATCAGAACAAGCGAATAGACGAAAACCTCTTAACATACAGAGACCAATGGAGACTGGAAAGCAGATTACGGCGAAGAACGTTATGAACTGATTTGTCTATATATTTATAAATGAAATATATCTTCATTGTGTAATATAGTATTCACGAATTAGATATATATATAGAGAGAGAGAGAGAGAGAGAGAGTTTTCAATCCAGGTTATTAAAAAACAGGTTGCCTCATAACTTTAGACCAATCACAGTAATTGGCGCGAATGCGTCAGCTAGGGGGACGTTTATAATAACTATTGACAAAAGGTTTAATAATAGTAACAATTACACAAGTTAAATTGTTCTTCTCCTACAATCTTTAGTTATTTTTCTCCAATTTTGCTGAAATTAACATTCTTAAGCAATAAATGATTGAATATATAAAATTATTTCTAAACAAGATGAAATCTGCCTGGTATCACACGATAACGCGCAATATGGCGGCTTATGTCAAATTACGAAGCAACCTGTTTAATAACACCTTGGCTTTCAATAAATAAAATAACTCTTCAGGTTCAGGGCCGATACTGGAATTATCCAAATCTATAACCCGTTGAGAAATGAATCTCTGGATCAGGGAAAAGTAGACCATCTACTGAATAAACAGGGGTATAGCAAGGCCTTCATCCAAAAACCTAATTCTAAAACCACAAAGGAAATGCGTGCTTTAGCAGGAATTAACAACATTATGTCTTGACAGGGCATAAGGCTGTCAAGTGCTATCTGAACAAGCTCAACCTGTACCAAGGAAGTATTTGCTGAAGACTTTGCGATAAAGATCCTAAAATAGCAGAGCCTGTGACATAATATTGGACTGCGAGGCTCTGGATCGCAAGCAGTATTTTATATTTGGAAAAGCAAGGCTATAATCGCAAGAACACAACTGCACAAGTTGGTGTAGTACACAGAGATAGAAAACTGGATGTAGATATATAAAAGAGACGAATATAATAGGTCTTACAGGTCGCAGTTTTCATTAATATTGAAGGAAAAAAATATGGTATCTTATTGAAAAGGTATCTCTCGTTATAAGATTCTCTATTAGGATTTCAATAGAAAGAAACTACAAGTAATGATGAATTAAAGGTGGGTCTATTTTCAGTTAAATCTTCGTATTCTTCAATTTCCCAGATACAATAGGGTCAATCATAATATTGCTAAATTATGACACTCCCATTGCTTAAAACCGAACAAACCAAAAGGTTACGTCGAGATTGCGAATACATCTCGTTAATCAGAAGACACCCAAACTCTGATCTGATAAAAATAGAACTGGGTTAATCTAAATCCGTTTCGCGTAATTTATTGATGAAACGTACCTACAACATTCGCTTATACAAACTCTGATAGTTGCGTAACGTCCACATTAAATAAAATTTAAAACCGGTCTTTGCATAAACCGATAAATATCCACACTGTAATTGAATTTCGTTCGGTTTAAAGTTAACTGAACCTTATTCATTTCGAAAAATTCGAATAAATCAAGGTCGTGGCATGTAAACAAGCGCGTGTTTCTTTTTTGTCGTGGCCGACTGGACTCCGGGTACGGATAATGACATTTACATCATCGACCACTTGTCCTAAATCGCAAACGATATATAAATGGAACTTATTAGGCAAAAATCGGAGGGTAATTAGATTTGCATTTCGATATACATACATGCATTTATATATATTTATTCGAAAAATTAATCGGTTTCATTAAATTACGTATTTAATTGGCGCTACCGTAACATATAAATATTCTGGCGTTAAACTTTTTAATGATTTTAAATAGAATAAACTGGAACAACTGTTCAGTTTTCTAGATTACGAGTGTTTTAATTCAATAATCGACAAACAACGCAAAACAAGGTTTAAGAATAGAACAAAAATGTGTTTGTTGAAAGTTGAATCGTATTTCCGATCCAAACATTTTAGCAAACTTTTATTTTATTGATGTCCATTTTTTGTCATTTCTTCTTGAAAATGTTAAAGTTTTTACTTTGCTATTTTTGTAAAATCGACATATTTTTTATGCAGCTTTTGTTTTCAACATGGAAATGGAAAAATTAACATTTTTCATGGCTTATTTTTATCACGGCGATCAAAACAAGCTTAACAATTCAACGACAATCGGCGAAGTGAATCAATGAAGAATTGCAATTTTGAACACCTTTTAATAATTATTTATTAAACATCAAAATCGTATAGTTGAAATATTTAAACATACTGTTAAGCAGGAAGTAACAAAGGAACATGAGAAACAATATGATTAACCCTTGTAAATGTAGAATGTAGGATGGTAGAATATATAGGAGGGAGTTAATCACCGCGACCTTACAGAGGTCTATGTGTGTCCTCCTTTCTTCAGTTATAATGAGTTATAACTGATCATACAGTCTCGGGGCTTTGACAAAAGCCAATATCTAAGATGGTTTCACAGAGGTTAGTTCTCTATTCTTCGATATCAGTCATACTAAATGACATGTATGGTTGTCGTCTCAGTGCACTCAGTGACAAGATGTTTTGGTTTTTCTCCATTTCTCCCACAGAATCTGCATTCGCCGTTGTTTCTTAGTCTCAATCTACCGAAGTGTTCGTTGAGGAGATGATCCTGTTAAAACTCCCGTGATAATCCGAAGATTGTTCTTACTTAAATCAAGGAATATCTCTTTGATTCTTTCCGGTCATAAGTTCCCAGAAATTTCTTCCACGGTCTTAGACCCTTGGAGGGTTTCCATTCCAGGTTACGGATGGAGTCTTCCAGATTCTTAAGTTCCGCGTTAAGTTGTTTACCACTTGGGAAAAAGAACGATTCTAGTCCAGTTAGTGGAGTGTTCGTTACTTTTCTAGCTAGATCGTTTGATTTTTCATTGCCTTCTATCCCTTGGTGGACCGGCATCCAGAGTAAAAGGACTTTATTATCTTTGCCTAATTTGTTCAGCTTCTCTAGGCATTCTTTAACCAACTTCGATTTGATGGTTACTGACTTGATCGCTTTTAATGCTACTTGACTATTAGATAAGATGGTTATTTCTTGTTTCGGATAGTTCCTGTATAATTAACTCATATGAAAGTACATTCATTTTGAATTTTAAACATTTTTTGGAATAAAATTAGTTTATGATAATAATATAATGCGTTTGATTATCAAATATTATTACTAGCACATGACCTGACATAGTTTTTTTTGTAAATTTATTCAATAATTAAGTTATAAATTTTACATTAGTATAATAATATCATACATAAAATTAGAGAATATCAGTACCTACAACGTATATCAATGGGTTACAGAGTCAAGGTCGCCTTCAAATTGTCGCACTTCCAACATACGGAACGTTTTTTTAAACAAGGTAGGAGGATCCGCTTCAAAAAGTAAATAAATAAATAAATGCCTTTATTGTCAAAAAAAAATTACAATTTGTAGACAAAGGTAAAGTAAACAAACAAAGTAAAGAAAGAAACAAACAAAATAGAATACAAAACATTATACAAATAACATTGCCAGTCTTATTGTTTAAAATAAACATTTATAAATGTTTACAATGTAAAAGAATAAAAAAATAAAAATAATATTCAAAAATATTTAGTTAGTTTATAGTAAATGTCAATGACCCCTAGATAAATTTATTTCGATGTCATTGGTAAATATATAGTAATAGAAAACATTAGAACAGTGTTTACAAGATCAAATTCGATTATCAAAATATTTATTTTTCAAAATCAATCAAAATTTATATTTTTTTTATAAATTCGATTATCATTTACGGCGTAGAAAGCCTTGTCTAGTAAATAAGATTTCAATGCTTTGCGAAATTAAGAAAATGATGTTATTGATTTGATTACAAATGGCAGGTGATTGTGCATTTTTTTCGAGTTGTATAATATTGAACTTTTAACTAACTCTGAGCGTGGGGTAGATAGATAAAGATCTTGCTCCGCGTTCTTGAGTGGATAAGTGTGAGATGGCCTTTCTTGAGAAACTGATACATGCTATAGATCGATGCGATAGATATATGCTGTAGATCCTCTTTAGACCTTTTTATCCTTTACTGTTAGAGCCATGTAGGCCGGTAGGAATACTAAAATCAATTTTAGTAGATCTAGGTATCATTAATGTTTGAAAATGTTTAAATAAAGCTCATGTTAGGTTAGTGCCTTGTAGAATGTAGAATGTTTAGGGGGGAGTTAATCACCGCGACCTTACAGATCTATTGTGTGTTGCCCTTTCTTGAGTTTGTGCTTTAACAAAAGCCAGTATCAGAGACGGCTCCATAGAGGCTAGCTCTCCATCCTCGACATCAGCCATACCAAAGTTCATGGCACGAATAGTCGTCGTCTCGGCGCACTCAGTGATAAGGTGTTCTGGTGTTTCCCCATTTTCCCCACAGAATCTGCATTCGCCGTTGTTTCTCAGCTTCAGCCTACTGAGGTGTTCGTTGAGGAGAAAATGTGCTGTTAGAAACCCCGTAACAATCCGAAGATTGTTTCTACTTAAATCAAGGAAAACCTTTGATTTTTCTCGGTCGTCTGTTACTGCCTTACTTTTCAATATTGACGTTTTAAAAATTCTTTCAAATTTAACTTTTTCTTTCTTGTTATAGGTATGTCACCGAATTTTTCGTCGATTATTCAACATTGCAACATGTGGAGGAATTTCGATGACATCCAAGACTCTTGGGCTAGCGTAGAAAGCATTATTGATTATTATGGAAATAATCAAGACGTGATAGTTCCCAATGCTGGACCAGGACACTGGAATGATCCAGATATGGTGAGTTATACTAATTTTATATTTTAGAAAATAAATTATAATTATATAATGATAATATACCGAGCTGGTCATTCAATTCCTGTGTATAGGATTTTAATGGATACGACAGAGAATAATACAAATTACCGGTTGACAGACAGAGACACAAAATAAAAGGGGGGATACAGTGTTGCCAGCTCGTAAGCGTGTAGGCAGGATTAAGAATGAGCATGGTGGGAGCGCAAATCGACTCTGATGTCGATGTCAATTCGAGACTGCTGTCAGTGTTGCCAGATAAACTTCCTCTAACAACCTCTGCATAACTATATAATAGTTAATAAAATAGAATAGTTTGCGTTTTGTAGAGAACTAGAGTGCAAAAACTCTATAATAACTAATATATAATTAAATAATGTGGTAGATTTGCGTTCTTATGTTATACAGGCCCGGCAATTGATCTCTAGGCATAGGAATTACATGCATTGGAATGAAACCTATAAAAAGTCTATGCTTAAACAGAGATGGACAACAACTTCCCCGTTTCCACTTCCACTACGACTGTCTACTTAGACAAACTCCAATAAGATAACAAATTTTGGAAATTTCGCCACCTCCCATCCACTCATGATACCCATCTCCCTGCCCTTTATTTATCGCCATTATTTTATTTCCCTTCCCGCGCCTCCGCAACTAGCTATTCATCGCAGAGTTGCCAGGTCTACCGGTTTCGTCTGTAAGATACCGATCTACCGATTTAAAGAAAAATCTAACGATATGTTCAACTGCGTCTTTAGTTTTTACAATAGAAGCACTTTTAAAAAGCTGACTTATTTGACTAAAAATTAAGCGACTGCCGCGTTGGAATCTGTATAATCTGACTTTATTATTGTTTCATTAAATTTTATTTAGTAATAACACACATACAGGTCATCGTTCTGTCTACTGGCAGAGTGACAGAGATATTCCTAAAAATCCTTATTACTCCTTATTAGGCGCGGTATTGGCGACATGCCCGAAGAGGTTGATATCTTTTGAAAAGATTTTGTTTCATTCATCTACTAAAGTTGAACCCATATTTTCCCCCAAAAAATGTAAACAAAAAACAAAATTTAAGTTAAGAAAGAACCTAAATTCGGACAAATATTTTAGTGATTTTCCTGTCAAAAAATATATTAATATGAAAAAAGAGTTGAGAGTTGCTACAGCTTTCCCATTGAAATGAAATTAATTTTAGATATCACTGATCAAAATTTGTACAAAGGTAAAAAGTGACTGCTACACTAATTTGTGACTGCTATCCCTACTTGTTATAGTTTAATATATTTTTATTAATATATTAATATTGTTTAATTCATTTTTTTTTAATATCAAATAATATACCTAGCTATTTCTAATTCTTGTTATATTTATTATATTTGTATTTTATTTGAGTGATCTATTATTACGACACATAGGAATGCTAATTTTTGACTTAAATACTATATTTTATTTTGTTTCTGTACTTTTGATTTTTGTTGAAGATCTACCGAGAATTTTGTTCTCGTATGGAATTATAATCTAACAAAGCCGGCAACCCTGTTCGGCTACTCCTTATAAAGTTTTTCGGCCTAATTCCTTTGTCACCGCCGCCGCCGACCGACGCGACAGTGTCGGGGCGACTGCTAGGATGATCGTACAGTATTGCAATTTCATAGAATTGCACTTGCTATTTTAGAAATGATTTCAAAGTTTTGCATGTTACTTTTCATTTTAGAAAGAAGTTATGTGCCTAGAGAAAACATTCTTAAAATTGTTTCGTACGGCAAGATAATGGGATTAGAAGATTTGGGATTTGGGATAAGCCAACATAATTTCCATTTTATTGAATGGCAACACTGTCCGTCCTGTTTCTATTTTTTAGATTCTATTCTATTAGTAGGCGGTAGCCCCCACACAAGCGTCTTAAAGACCCGCCCGGCGCCCCCTCTCGCAGTGCTCCCTCGTCGTATCACTTCTATGATCACTTCCCCTATACGATGGTAGGGAAAAGACACTTTATCCGTCTCCATCTTTTTTTTATCGCATTGAAAACCTCCTATTGCTAATGTTCCTTTGCCAGCAGTGTATATGAAATGGCGGTCGCAGGTTTACGAAATAAGGAAATAAACAACATTTTATTAAAAAAATGTTCTATTAGTGAAGTATGTACCAAGATGGTTATGACTGCGGTGATATTAATCGTAATAAGGCTACATACGCGCATCACCATTTTGCCACCAGTACTCTTTTGATTTTGCTAGTGTCGCCATATTGGATCATAAAAACAATTTCCTTCCCCTATACGAGTTAGTTGGACGACTAAAAAGTTGCACGTGGTTTATATCTAACTATTTAATAGGCCAATTATTTTATTGCTGTTGTCTGCAGCTTCATAAAAATATATATTGGTTTTAATTCTGTACAGATGAGCAAAATTGCGATTCTCTAAAGGCAATTAAAACTCAGCCATAACATTCTAGATTGAAATTTAAAATACGATTTTTTAAGCGAAAATGTCAAAAGTTGCCATATGATATGCCATTCTATACAGAGTTTCATTTTCTATCGAATAAAGTCAAAAAATACCGAAGGTGTAATTTAAAAATCAAAAGTTATAGCCATTTCCGGTGAAATCGAAAGTGACTAAAACAACTGAATACGTCAATCAATCCTAATTTATGTCATATACTAACATACCAAATCTCGTTTTTTTATTAGTAAAAATAAAAAAGTTATAGGGGTGAACCGCTCTTGAGAAACATCCGATATATTATTGATCGTGACCCTAGAAAATAATACCTTCTCTATAAATAAATATTATCAGAATAATCACAAAATTACATTCGTAATAATATCGCAAATAGCAACTCCTAAAAATTCAAATGCACAGATAGAAATCACGGTCCCAGTTTACAAAATCACAATCGCAACAAAATTGCAAATGGCAACAAAGTCGCAAATGGCAGCTATAGTAATACTGGTTGCCTAAATTGAAACTCGCAAATAGAAGAAATAGCAATCGCAGTTTGCTATGAGAGCCAATCGCAGGATGTGACTGCGATTTTAAAATCGCTGCAATTGAATCGCAATTTGCGATTTCTCGCTCATCTCTATAACTCTATATCTAAATAATCGACCGATTAGAAATTGCATGGTAATATTATGAAACAAGAAAGCTGATTTCAGTTATATTTTTTAAATATGAAATATGAAAATAGTCTCAAAGTTCCGTTTTTTCGTCAGATATCCAAATTGATAATAATTGTTTCTGCACGACTGAAAACGTAAAATGATAATCTACTCTAAACTACCTAGTTAATATTTTTATTGTTACTTTCTCCAAAACGAACGTACAAAGCACCGAGTGTTCTATATAAAAAAGAACACAAAACATTTTAACGATAATTGACTGTATAAATCGACCAACTTGTACGGTGTTTAAAAATATTTTAACAAGCAACAAAAGTTCATTGTCACGTTGTGTAACAAAATTAGATATCTTAAAATCTAGCGAGCAGAATAACTCTCAATAATTATGGTAATAACTACAAGCAATTACTAAATCATTATTATTTATAATTCAAATTTTTGTAACTGTTTTTTTTTCATTATACATATAGTAAAATTGAGCATTTCCTCTACCGATTAGTTGTATTATGTTTCATCAATAATAAAATTGCTGCCAATGAATGAATGATAAATTTAATTGTGTGTATACTGTGAATAACGCGAGGAAATCATTATTTAACATTTTGCATATTTAAAAACTGAAAAAAAAAGATTTAAATTGTTAGTGAGATTTTTAGAAATCGTACTGCCTAACAGTGAGGTGGCGTGAAGTAATAGTTTTTTTGGTCAATCTTGTGATGATGAAAACTGAGTCACCGATGTTTTTTGGGACAAAAACATAAAGTGAAATATGAAATATTAAAAAAATATAATAGATATGATTAATATAGCATTCATTTTATTCCTGAAGTCTTTCAGTCTTCTTGTAAGCTTCTTGTACGTCTATGTCTTCTTGTAAGCCTATAGAATGCGGTGTCCCTCAGGGTTCAGTAATTGGCCCTATTTTGTTTCTGGTGTTTATCAACGACATTGCAAATCTAGACATTAGCGGTAAAATCACTAGTTTACTAGTTATACTAGTTTCATTTGGAGCGGCCCAGATGTTACACCATTAATATCTTGGTGCGATTCTAATCTCCTATGCCTCGACCTATCAAAAACTAAACTTTTGTCATATAAAAGTACTATACAACCTTTTGTACTTAATAACACCGCTATTGACGTCGTGGACTCTGTGAAATTCTTAGGACTTGGTGTAGACAACTCTTTAAAATGGGACTTGCACATCGAAGCTTTATCAAAGAAACTAGGCGCTGCCTGTTTTGCGCTAAGATCAGTTTCTAAGGAAATTAACTTATCAACCTCTAGAATAGCCGATTAGGTATGCCCTTTTTGAGTCACATCTTCGTTATGCCCATTCTGGGGTACTTGCTGCGCTGCGCAATAAAATTTGATCGCATTTTCAAACTTCACAAGAGAGTAGTTCGATATTTATTGGGACTGAACAGTAGAACTCACTGCCAGATTTTTTTTAAAAATTTCAAAACACTGACTCTTCCTTCTTTATTCATTTTTGAATCCGTTGGCTTAATCCGCAAGCACATATCTGCTATTCCCGAACGGGCAACTCACAACTATCCACTTAGGAATGCGGAGCACGATTTTAATCTGCCAACCCCGAGCTCAGAACTAGTTAAAGACTCAATATTGGACAATGCCAAAAAAATGTGCAATCAAATGTGCAAAATGCCTTTGAACATCAAGTCGCTTTCATTCTTTTCCGCATTTCGCAAAGCTCTGAAATCATACTTACTGGAGAGAGTCCTATATGCGGTAAACGAGTTTTTTGATGTTTAATCATGAACAATTTTGAATTTTAAAATTTCGACCATCTCACACACTGGTTAAAGGTCTAGTATTTAATATTTATTATT